TGTGCAGAAAAGACGCTTCGGAAGCGTGAACGTTTGAACTTTGCGAAAGGCGACTATGATAAACTCCGTGAAACAGTGAATGCGGCGAATATTTCGGACTGTATTAAGGACATGAATGTGGCTGATTCATGGACATTTCTCAAAGACACTGTTATGTCTGCAGTTGATGCCTGTGTACCTAAGATTACGCTTGGAGGAGTCAAAAAGTCCCAGTGGATGAACAGTACAGTTAAAGCTCAGCTAAAGGCCTAGAAGGAAACCTACAGTTGTTATTTATGAACTCAGCGATTCTGATTATAACCTGTATGCAAGAGCTAGAAATCAAGCTAAAAAATTCTGTCGCACTGCAGCGAAAAACTTCGAAAAAAATATTGCTAAAAATGCACAAAAGAATCCGAAAGCCTTCTTTTTGTACGCTAGTTCGAATAGTAAAACAAACGACGATATATCTTATTCGAAAGTAGATCAACGAAAGATTTCCTCTGATGAGGGCAAAGCTAAGGTTCTTAATCAATTCTTCAGCAGTGTGTTCACAGATGAGGACTTGAACAGTATTCCAGATTTTAAGGAGCGCCCAGTCGGCTCGAAGTTAACAGGTTTTAAAATACACGAAGAAGAGGTTCTCAAGCGCCTGCATGGTCGCTCTAAATCCCAACAAGTCATGTGGACCAGACGGCTTCCATCCCAGATTGCTCAAAGTATTAACAACCTTTCTGGCCGGCCCATTGACAGTATTCTTTCAAAAAACCTTGTACGAAGGAACTTAGTCGTCCGATTGGAAAGAAGCTCAAATAACACCATTGTACAAAAAAGTGGCCAAAGAAATCCCGGTAACTATCGCCCTGTCAGTCTGACAAGTGTTGTCTAAAAGGTAATGGAATCTGTTGTGAGGGATAGGATTATCGATCACTTGACTGCTCACTATCTCCTATCAGACTGTCAACATGGCTTTATTGCCCGTAGATCCTGCACCACTAAACTATTGTCTACGTTGAACAATTAGACTCGCCTGCTGTACGTAAGGGAGCCAGTGGATGCAGTGTACATCGATTTTGCCAAAGCATTTGGCAGTGTTGCCCATGAGCGGCTGTTGCGTAAATTGAATTCTTTGGGAATTGAGGGAAACGTACTCCGATGGATCAGAGATTTTTTAGTGGGTAGACGACAACGTGTCTGTACCTACTAACGGAGCCGCGTGTCAGACTGGGCATTTTGCGCAGTGGCGTGCCACAAGGAAGCGTTCTTGGTCCTATTTTGTTCTTTGCTTTTATAACGATCTGCCAGAAGTAGTGTCCAACGTGAGCTCCATGTTGGCCGACGACACAAAAGTTTATACCACAGTGAAGGATGCGTTATATAAAGCGCAATTGCAAGGTGATCTTGACAGTTTAGTTAACTGAGCTGCTACGTTGCAGCTGCGGTTTAATGCTGACAAGTGTAAAGTACTTCACCTCGGGAAGAACAATGAACAGCAAGATTACAGTATGAGAAGATATGGTTGCAACGAGCGAGTAATGATTGAAAAGTCTAGTGTGAAAAAAGATCTCAGAGTTTACGTCGACAAGAAGCTGAAATTTTCTAATCATGTCGAAACGCAAGCTAATACATCCAACAAACTTCTTGGACTAATCAGACGCTCATACGAGTTCCTAGATGCAGAAGCGATGAAGCAGTTTGTTTCTATTGTACGCCCGAATCTAGAGTTAGGAAACATTGTGTGGTCACCGAGATTTTAGAAGGACAAAAATTTAAAAGAGAATGTTCCAAAACGTGCAACAAGGATAATTCCAGGCTTGAAGGGCAAGTCCTATGAAGAAAGATCAAAGATTATGAAGCTTCCAAGCCTCTGTTATCGACGACTGCGTGGGGACCTCATTGAAGTATACAAGTATACTCCTGGTTTATACAAGGTCACAGAAGGATTACCACAATTTTAAACGAGAACAAACACCAGAGGCCACGGCTATAAACTAAATAACTGCGCTGCAACTTATCCACGAGACAACATTTCTTCTCGCTTCCAATAACCGACATGTGGAACAACCTCCCCGAGTACATCGTTGGCGCTCCGAGTATGAACTCGTTCAAAAACAAACTATATAAAGCTATGGAAAAATATATTTTTAGACTTTAAATGCCTAGCACCATATCGAACCCGGTGGAAGTTTAGTAGCTATTTCAAACTATCCACAGTCCTAAAAAAACGGTCAAATGACACGATTTTAGATCTTCTGTGAAGTAGTCAGGTCAAGTACAAGAATCGGCGACAGCCTACTCTTTAGCGCCGACATCATGCACCATGTTAGGTTAAGTTATAACGAAATTAAACACATCTCAATATTGCATGACATGTTTTTCCTCATTTAAGAGATTTAAAGTCTAAAATGAATAAAAAAAAATTAATGAGCACGGTTATTATTAGACACCATTTCTCACCGATTTATTTTTTTCCCCAAGGCACTTCGTTTCCTCCTCCTACTGCACGTTGAGTCGTCGATAGCCCCAACGCACAGCACCACCGTCGAGCTCGTGGTCGTCACCACGCGCGTGTTGGTAGACGTGCCCAGGAAGAGACGCGCCTTAGGACCGTAGCCTGTGGATTCAATTCATAAGTCAAAGTTGAACAATTAAATTTTCATAACATACGCATGTTGTGAAATGACAAAATCACCTTCATTGGTGGTGGATGTAATAATGTAGGTATGTCAGAAACTTGCCATCTTAAGTACAGTTCGTGGTAAATGGCGAAAAATATTTGTTGAAAAACGAAAAATTTTTAAAGTTGTTGGGAATTTTCCTCCCTACGCACGAGGATATTCCTCTTTCAGAAATATTTTTCATTCCCGAAAATTTAGGGGAAAGGATTTGAAACAAATAAACATGAATAGAAGTTGTTTTAATCAAAATTCGACAGTTGTTGCTGGTACTGCATTCAGATTTCAGAGTTATAAAGATTTCGCTTCAGGAAAGTAAATCCATTTAAAGAAAGCAGCGTATACGAGCGTGGGCGACGCCAGAAGTTTACGAGCGAGGGCGACGCCAGAAGTTTACGACGAAGTCATATTCAAAATAGATACTTAAATTACAATTAGGTACGCTATGAATTTTCAGTCACTTTTTTATCTCAGTAATTTCAATATTAGTTCGAATTCAAAGAGTTTAGCTGGCCTTATTTAATTGAAAATAAGTGCACCAAACTGGTGCTCTCAGACGAAATTGGCAATACGAGTATGATTAAGCAATTGAATAAATTTAGGTGCGGTAGCTCAAATTAAATGTTACCATAAGTTTTAAAGGGTAGATCGCTTTAGCCACAGACCACTTCACGTTAATAGTTGGAACAGACGAAGTTCCAAATAAAAATTTAAGTACATTCTAGTAGTTTTTAAAGTTAATTCAAGTAATTTAAGTTGCAGAGCTCTACCTTTAAAGTTCAACTACGCGATTGAACCAGCCGGCCAAAACGTTCCAAAAGAAGTGAAAAAACGCATGCACCCCAAAATCAAAGTTTAAACAAAGCAAAGGTTGTGCTCAACAACTTAACACCTCTATGAATAGTTAGGAAAGTATGGTGAAGAAACATTTAAACGCTCTTGTTACAACCGCACGCTTTGAATTCAAGGTAAACCATCATCTCGAGTAGCTGCGACTCTGCCCTTTAAAAGGCAGAAAAAGATCTTGTTCTTCGTCGCAACTGACTCAGTAATCAGGTTGGAAAATATTTCCAACTAAGTGTTGGAACAATATATTTCCTCTTGTTGAGAATATCTTTTTTAAATCAGATGCGTGTTGAGGACTAACAAATTACAGTGTAGTTCCCGTGATCTCCGTCACAGACCATAGCAATATAGAAGTGTATCTCATTCGTCGTTTTCTATTTTTTTGTCCAAAAAACGTCGAATTTACGCTGAACTCCGCATGACGCGATAGGATTTTTGATCACTATTCCGTTTCCTGGTATTAGTGCAAATCGAAATTCTAAGCACCGCATTGGATCAAACAATGTAATGATAGATTGTGTTCTTTAATGTCTACAATGTAGGTATATGTCGTTCCGTGGAAATTTCGCACTAAATATTGAAGAAATCAAAGATGTATTAAATACATCCGCTTAAAATGGGCCAGGAAAAGAAAATATGCGACCATGACTTGTACTTTAAAACAAAATAGTCGAAACAGTCCAAGTTCTGCGCATATAATATGATTTTTTGTCTTCACTGTCATAATACTCACTTTCCAGTTCAATCGGCATGTCCTCCACTGTTGGACTGCTGCCCTGTAACGGAATCCGAGTTCGTGTAAAAACATTTTAAAACTTTTTGTCTACTTTCACTTTGATGTATGCGGTTACTTCCTACATTATTTACAGGCCTTGATCTACGGACATCATTCCTACTAATTACTTGTCCTCCATCTCCTCCGACTGTCCGTGAGCAGCCGGCGTTGTCTTGGCAGCCGGTGTTGTTTGTCATGTTAAATACTTCCACTATAAATCGGTCAGGATGAGAAAATATTTAACCATGAGTTGTATTTTGAAAAATAATAGTCTAAATAGTCCAAGTTTTCAGCGTATAATATGAATAGATTTGGCTTCATTGTCATAATACTCAATTTCTAGTTCAATAGCAGGTCCTCGATCCTCATCTGCACTGCCGCTCTGCAAGACGCCCCACGTCGTCGCTGTCGACTTCACTCGTAGCTGCACCACCGAAAGCAGGATGAACGTTTGGTGCTAGGCACCTGTTAATTCACTATCTAACAAAAAAATGCACGAAACTTCCAAAATTAGTTCTTCTTTCGCCTGATGTGGAGAAATTTTTTGAAAACCAATATTTCCGGTTCAAACGCTCCGTGAAGGAAACATTTGCTGCAGTGACAGATGCTATGGGATAAAATAGTAAAGATCACTTATCTGGTAGAGTTTTCATCAACGTAAGATTTTTGTTTTAAATTCAATGTTACCGGTGGTCATTGATAACCTATTTCGAGTATTTTCTTTCAGGGTTAGTTGGGAAGCCAGACTGGATCTTTCGTCTAAGGTATAAGCATCTTGAAGAAATTTTTTATCCCTTATGGTGAATAACTAATTCTTAGAGGCATACCCTTGCTACAAATATGTGACCTTATTGCTTTTAAACGTATCTTTCATATATGAAGTGTAATACAAGACACTTTTGATATTTTCAGCCTTGTTATAGGGATGTGTATTGGTCGATCGATATCGATGACAGATGGAAGTCTCTGTTCACCATCATAATCAGATTGGCTCCGTAAATTGATCTAATTATTATTCCTGAACTTTCCCGGAGTTATTATTAAGAATTTCTGATTTATTTTTTAAACATTTATTCTATTGCAATTGACTTTAAAGCTTGCGTTAATAGAGTGAGATAACTTCTCTAAGATCGTTGTTGCAATAGCGGGTTTAAAGATGATTGCATCAAAACTAAGCTTTTGCGCTCGATATTCATAATAATTTATTCCATACATGCATTCTCTTTCGTCGCTAATCGATTAATGTCCATACATTTGATATCACACCTCCCTCATGCGAATAAATTTCACTTGACGATGAAATAATGTAGATGAGCTTTTTGAACAATTGAATTGAACGACTGACTCATTATAAGCCTGATTGAAGTATCGCTTACTCTCTATTCCAAGTGATAGTGAAAAATGAACTTAATTCGTCCCATATGAACTTTATGTCATCGCATGGTCAATTTATCAATGCTGAATTTCGGCACGCATATTGGAGTCACCGATTAAGTAACCTGACTGCAATTTAGTTCTACCAGGTGATTCAAGCTCAACACTCGTTGATATAGCTTGGTTAAAGAAACGCCACATTGCTTGCTCCGACAAATTATTACCTGCTTATCAGAGGAATTTTTTTTTTTTGGCCTTTTGCGGGACATAAAACAAGCAAGGAATCTAACATAATCCAGAGTATATCTTGTAAACGAAAAAGTTTTACTCGTGCAAAATAGAGCTTAAGAAGTTGCGAATTGATGAGGCTAGCGCAGTATAAATATGAAGAAGAACATATGTAAAGTTTTTTCAGAGAGGTGAGTTGGGAATGTAAGTAATCAGTATCCTGTCAATCCAGAGCTTAGGTCGCCCCTCCAGCAGGCAGTGTGGTATCGCAATGAAAGGCACATGGATTTTCTTCTTATAACGATTGTTTCCAACTTTTATGAAGAAAATTCACTGTCAAACTTGATCGCCCCCCAGGATTTCATTCTGAACACCACGAAAAACATCCCATGCAAACTTGTACGCGCTAATGCGACAGTTCTTTCCAAAGCTAATTTTGGCTTCAGTAAGCATAAAAATCGTGAAATGAGTGCAATTATATCCTATATAGCTCGTAGTAGGATATGTAATTGTTTCTCCCTCCAACGTGTGTTAGTTTTTATATAACGACCACTACACGGCCAATATACAGAATAATGAGTAATTCTTGGGGTTGCTTACACTAGTATGTATTCTAGGTTGTAAACTATAATCAGCGTTGCATGTTGCGGTTCTTCTGGTTGTGATAATTCATAGAAATTAAAAAACGTGTATAATTAGTTCAAGTTTTAACCTAAAAAATTCATGTACACTCATGAAAGGTGCATTTGGTTCTCGAGAAGATACATTCAACTCTATGATCAACAAAATTATGAACTATGCGTTAAAAATCAGTGCATATGGTATGAATTCTAACTCGTATACCTGATTCGATGCAATTCAAGACTGGATTATAGCGATGTTTATGCGTCACCGGGTTAAAAGTTTCAAGCTCATTGATCCTCAAACTTCTTATTGCTTCGCTAAAAAAAATATGTATCCTGGTTTTGAGTTTTACGAGGTCAGAAAAAATCAACAATGGTAATGAGCATCAAAATAATAATTAGTCGAGCAATTAAGGCCACGAGAGCTTTAACGAGAAACCCGGAACTTTTCGGTAATCTTTGCTGCTTAATTTAATTCATTGGAATGCAACGGCAGATAGACAGAGACTGATAGTGGAGGACAGCCGATGCATTCTGCAGATAATGTTAGATGATGGCTAGTCGTAGGAGTTTTTATAGACAGCTGCTTCTCATATCGCATATAAAAGCCAGACAAGAATAAAACACTGTGGTTTTAGATTCTTCGTGAAATATGCCTCCGTAAAGTCCGCTAATAATCTCGTCATGCAGCTGTCCCTTCGTTTAACAAAATACGAGTATTCCCCCACTGGTACATTGTAATAAATTGTCTTTTTATGACACGAGCTTCGCACTATTGGTCACCATGCAAAAATCATGATCACTCGAGAACCGGTAACATTTGGCAGTATTTCATGGAAACGGTTGTCAGCATAAGAGTTACAAACATTTACTCAGGAACTCGGTATTAAATTCAACCACAGAAATTGATGTTNTCTCATTCTCTGATGTATCATGCAGGTAAACGACGGGGCAATGAAAATTCTAATGTTTTGGCTCGTTTTAATATCGCAAAGATTCCAACTCCTTGCACGAACTACGCAGCTGCCTCCTCTAGTCCTCTAGTTAGTGGGCAACACCACAAGATCTTCCAAGTTCCAAATGACCAATTAAATATTAGCTTTGTTGACACCATACGAGACGCGTTTTTATTAACATGAATGAATAAGTTACTTTTTTCTAAAAGCTGTCGTATTATTTTTAATAATGAGGTACTAAAATCACTAGATTGCTTTAGTTGCAAATTAACAAGGAATTTAAACACAAGAAGATGACACAGAAATTCACAATGTCTTTATAAAAGATAGTTGCACTATATCTTTTCTTGAAATTTATTATCTAATTACGTCATTAATGTTTATACGCTTATCGTTTGTCGCATGTTAGGAGACATAGTCGACGTTCATTAGCTCAATCGCGATTACTATTACCTTAACCTTATACCTGTGTGAAGACCTCCTGCTCAAACCGTATTGCTTGCTACTCGTGTTCAATCTTGCTTTTCTGTTACTTAATTTGAGTTTATGCATGTGTGTTTTCATTTTGTTTAGTTCCATTTAAATGCATGTTTGAGCTTCTGTGTTCGCCCATTTAAGATCTTGCTGTGCTGGCTTCACGCCAGTGGTTCAACCCCGTAGGGTTATTGGCTCCTTGGAGCTTCAGAGTTTAACCGAATTTTGTCACTAGCCTTACAGTGCTGTGAATTAACTTGCATGCGCTTAACTCACTTTAAGTACGAGTGAACACTCCTATTACTGTTTTCACTATTTTCTTTCTTATAGTTCTCTACATGAGAACTCTTGTCTAGGATTCCTCAAGAGAAACAAATAGGTTAGTTATTTTTGATCTTGAAAGTGTTATTATTATTCTGATTTTATTTGATCATATTGAAATCCATTGCGTTTAAACCTTGAATCCGTTATTTTTAGGCTCAAATTGTTTATCTGTCTCATTCAGATAAGAGTCAACAGAACCAACTTTACTTTAAATTGGTCACCCGCCTGCCGCTTCTGTTTATTTGAGATGCTGCTTATCGATTGTTACGTTCTATTGCCACCGGCAATATGGTGAGAATTGGAGAGAGAGAGAGAGAGACGTTCACCTGAAAACAGTGACTCATTCATTTGAATTAAAGTATTGTGTTCTTGACTTCTAATGTTGGAACCAAAATTAATGTCTGCGTATTCTACTACAGCAAGTTCCACAATGCGCTTTTCGATTCCCCTTGGCTTCGTTCTGCGAACCTCTTCATTGTCCGGAACCACTTCAATTAAACTTGCAACGGTTTCATTGTTCTTTAATTTCCATTTTTACCAAAATTCAATACTTCATAAAATAAAACATTTCAGTGTCCGGATCTGTCATCAGTTCGACAAACCTAGAGAGTAAATACAATCAGTTTAAAAAACAAACTTCAAAGTTACACATCAAAACCTTAAACTTACGAATGAGAGACTAATCAAGCTAAAATGACCCTTGCAGAGATTCTTATTGTGTGGATTATAACTGATTGTGCTTACATTCTAGGTTTGTCGAACTGAGGATGAATCTGGACTCCGAAACGTTTTCTTTCCTAAAGTCATGGCGAATTTCTGGGCTATCTTATTTTTTCAATTCTATATTATATTTCTTTCGTGATTCTCCAAAATTATTTTTAGTTGTTCTACGAGCGTGACAGCACTACTTGCGGGTTTAACAATCCTAACAAGAAGAAAATTTCTTTCGTGAATTTTAGGAGACTATAACAATCAATTGAGACGCCAATACTCGGACATTCACCACTGTACCTGAAAGGTGAAAGTTATATCACAGTTCGTCGATTTGCGAAAATGGTAGATGAATATACTAATTAATTTACAGTTAAACAATCAATTTTCAGTTCTTTGGATAAGTTAAATTATGCCATCATGGCATTTTTTCAGACATCTAAAGACAAGCACTTGATCTTCAACTTAACTAGCTAGAATAAGGAAAAAATAAAACGGTGCCTCTGTCGCGTTGGAAAACGGCGAGTTTTTGTGATGTCTAGTTTTAGGGGTTAAAACCTGCGAATGGCACCTGTGGCCCTTTCTTAGATGGTTTGATGCTCTGCCGCTCATTCGTCCTTAGTCTTTCGCCAGCTACTGATGCCAGATTTGCACATTCAAATGTCGATAGTTTGTTCCTGTGACCATATTAGTACCAATTTTGAATTATTCAACTTTGATTTACCGATTTTTCATATGAATTTATTACCGTTAGATCTCGTCACAGTTTACTCAAGATTTGTTCATCAACTTGGGCATTCTCTTTAGTAAGTTACTAGGCTACCGTTGCTTATAATGCTGTTTCTTGGAACATAGTTTTCATATGTGATGATTATTTGAGAACGATTGGACTAAATTGTCTATTCATGGTTAAATTATTTATCTTGCTGTATTATCCTTGTTTTCAGTTTACGGACACTGCTTCCGAAAATAAAATTGATGCTTCACTGGATTTTAAATTTGGAACTGATGATCCGTTAACTCGGTTAACAGTAGGAAGAAATCGAATTCCGTCAGGTAAGCGAGACAGCCTGCACTAGGTTGAATTTATCGAATGTACAGTATGTATGTACTTTCTTACAACACTTACATACATTGGAGAAGCAAAATTTTTTGTTTTTCATACATGTTCTTTGTTGCATCCCCATGCAAATCTTACATCAATATGATAAGCACCGAAATTGACGCCTCTGCAGACAACATTTCTCACCTATGGCTTTTTCGCGGACATTTCGCCTCCTCCTCCGCCCCGTGCACGCTGCCGCGCGGCATTATAGCGGCGGGAGCGCAGCCGTGCCCCACCAATTTTGTGCACCAATAAGCCCTGAATCGAACGCCTTGGATCTCCCCGGACATCCACCAATGAGCCGTGCACCACTCGGCTTTGTCCTCCTCCAGCCTTGACCACCACCTGCCGTGCACCACCAGGCCGCGGATCGAATCTGACTTCCGGGCATCGTTAAATTACGTAATTCTACGTTCACCGCATCTGAGGTGCACTGCACTGCACTGCACTGCACTGCCCTGCACTGCACTGTACTGTACTGTACTGTACTGTACTGTACTGTACTGTTCTGTACTGTACTGTACTGTACTAAACTATACTATACTATACTATACTATACTATACTATACTATACTATGCTATACTATACCATACTATACTATACTATACTATGCTATACTATACCATACTATACTATACTATACTATGCTATACTATACCATACTATACTATACTATGCTATACTATACCATACTATACTATACTATACTATACTATAAGTACAGGTCATGGTGAATGGGGAAAAATATTTGTTGAGAGACGAAAATTTCTAACGTGTTGGAACAATATGTTTTCTCCAGTTGAGAATTTCTGTTAAAATCAGATACGTGTTAATGACAAACAAACTAGAGTGAATATCCCGTGATATGTTTCACAAACCATAGCAAGATAGGAGTGCATCTCATTAATTGTATTTTTTTTATTTTTGCTAAAGGCTCGTTCACACTAGGGGCAACACACGAGAATCAAGTGCCTCAAAGCGCATGCAGAGGCGCTTTGCAGCCTCTAGCTGCATGCGCTTCTTGACCGGTTGACGAGCTAGCGATTGACAGGGGCCATGCCTCATGCAACACAAGCGCGGCTCTTAGTAGATAGCTATTAAAGAATTGATATCAATTGTATGCTTAAATCGCAAATTAACTAAGAATTTAAATTAAATTAAAAATTTAAATCAAATTAAAAATCTTAATTAATTAATTAAAGAAATTCAATTCGTTCTATGGTTTCAATGTATTAATTTGTGACTTCTGATTTGTGATTCTAGATTCTACGAACTGACGATGGAGCTGGTCTCCGAAACGTTTTCTATAAATTTTGTGGACTATTCTTAGCTTTTAAATTCTTAGTTAGTAGATAGCTGTCTAGCTGTGGTCTAGTAAGGTTGATGGTGTACGCTGGTCCGGCACACCAAATGTCGTAACATCACTCTCGTTTGGAGTCATTCTCTAGTAGAGAGCCTAATTGATCTCTATAAAGAAAATGAATGCGTATGGAGTGTTCGGTCATAGGAGTACAACAATCAAATGCAAATGATGTAAGTTATTTTTACATGACGTGTTTAGTTTAAGTGATTTTAGCAACTCCTGACAATTTATGCATTACCGTTTAGCGATTTCAAAGGATGATATTATTTCGGTACGAATATTGGAACTTTTTATTTAAGAATAGACTATATTTTTTATAAACTGTATCTTTTTGAATGTACTAGTTCTCTAATTATGATGCCTATGCTAAATTCTCGATTACAACTGGCATAGTGCGAAGAATGACGGACCGCAGCACACACGAGAACAATGGCCCACAGCTCACATTCGGTTACATCCATCCTCATTGACGTCTGGGTGGCAACTAGTGTTCAAAGCGCGCGGTCTCGAGCTATCGCTTACAAACGTCGTGTGAACGGTTGTGCGCGGTGAGGCACTGCAGCAAACGACTCAAAGCGCATGTCGTTGCCACTAGTGTAAACGGGCCTTAAGAAACGACGAATTTTAAGCTGAACTACGCATGACGCGACAGGATATTTGATCACTACCCCGTTTACTGGTATTTGTGCGAAGCGAGATTCCAAGCAACGCATTGGAGCAAGGGTGTTATGATTAGATTGTGTTCTTCAAAGTCGACAATGTATACGTCGTTCTGTGGGAATTTCATGCTGAATATTGAAGAAATCATAGATGTAGTATGAAATACTTCTGCTTAAAGTCGGCCAGGAAAATAAAATATGCAACCATGAGTAGTATTTTGAAACAAAATGGACCAAGTTCTTTGCATATAACATGAATTTATTTATCTTCACTGTCATAATACTCACTTTCCAGTTCAATCGGCATGTCCTCCACT